CCTGTGAATAATGCCGCACTGGGGGCTTGTGGTTCCTTTCCTGGCCGAGTCTGCCGGTCAGGACTTACCTTGCACTTGACGCTTTGGCCCCAGAGGCAGGATGCATCTGAGTCCGAGGAGGAGGCAGCAGTGGGGAGGAGGGCGGGGCAAATATGACCAAACGCTGGACCGGCCCGGCAGCGGGGATCGGCTCTGTGCAGTCGGGCCAGGGCGGGGGCAGATGAGGGACTCCTAGGGTGTGCTTGGGGTGACAAAGAGGGAAAGGCTTACATCTGGATTATTAGAAATTGAAAAAGTTGCTAGAAATGAGGGACGGGATAGCCGGCCTTTTATGTCCTATTTTTTCCACTTAGAGGCTACACAGATATTAAATGCGGACCCCTAACTACTGACCAGGGGCGTTGCGGAGGCCAGTCCAGGAGAAAGGACATGGCAATGGTAGTGGGAGTAGTTGAAAGCTCAACAGCCGCATCGTCATTCAATGTCCCGGGATTCAAAGATTTGGGGGTTCAAATCTCGTCTCCTTAACTTACAGGCTACGCCATCTCAGGCCAACGATTTTACCTCTCTCTGTCTACAAAATGGGAATTTTTCTTCATGTGAGTTGTGAGGGTTATGTAATAACAATTTACTGTGTACTTTGTGTCCAGGAAGGGATGTTTTATATGTATTATCTCATGTAATTCTCAGAACAACCCCCAGAGGTAGGGTTGTTACTGTCTGTTTCACAGAAGAATAAACTGAGGCACTGCGAGGTTAAGTAACTTGCCCACAGGTAAAACTGGGGGATGTGGGAGTCGCAGTTCAAGTGCAGACAGACTCGCTTGTCAGTGGGCCGCAGAAAAAAATTACACAAGATGTTAGGCAAAGTGCTTAGCCCATAAATAAGCGTGATACATGGCAGCTGTTGTGATTTTTAACTTTTTCTTACTTGAATTTGAGAAAATCGACAGGTGCAAAAAAGTATATAAAGAAGCAGGACAAAAGATGACTTCTTTCTTCTTTGTACTTAGAAAATTTTTTTCCCCACAAAAGTCTAATGTTTGTAATCAGAAGAATAATTATTGGGAAAAAAGTCAATTATAATCCTACAAGGAGGAAGCCTTGGGGTGCGGCCAGATGCAGAAAATCTTGGAGATCTTTCTAGAAACTTCCCGCTGGCAGAAAAATACAAATACCGGAAGCCAGTCCACAAAACGGAGCCTCCAGGGCCCAGAGCCTCCAGGGCCCAGAGCCGGGAACCAACCCGAAGCCCTGACCCTGCGTCCACAGATCCAGGGGGCAGATGCTTAGTGTAAGAGTTAACGCCGGGTTGGGACTGAGCCACTTCCTTGTCACCTGTTGGAGGGACGTGGCTGGGTTATCGGTGGTCCGGGGTTACCTGGGGCTCTGGCTTCTGGCCGCTCCTCGGTAGCGGGGGTGGGGGGGTGGGGGTGGGGGGGTGGGGGGGGGGGGGGTCTGCGCTCCTTACTCCTTGCGGGGAGGGGAGGACGCGCCCCGCTGCACATTGTGAGGTCAACGTTCTCCTGTGCTTGGCAGCATACACCTGTGGTTGGGCCCGAGATGCGTTCCTGGGGAGGGGGCAGAAAGGGACTCCAGGACTCAAAGGGAGCTACTTCGTGTCCTGGAGGGAGGCCTCCGCCGAGTGGACGAAGCGGTTTCGCCCGTAGGTTCCTGGGACTCAGACCGGGGCTCCGGCCCCCCGCCCTGCGAGCTCCGGGAGAGGTGTGGGCCTCCAATGACGGTCGCAGGGACCTGCAGCCCACCGCGCGGTGGCGGCAGCAGCGGCCACCTCAAGCTGCTGGGGACGGTGGCATGCCTGACGTGGGGTGGCCCGAAGCGCCGGGAGGCCCAGGCGACCCGGCTGCGCGTGGGGAGCAGCGACGGCGGCTCCAGCTCCGGCTGCTGGAGCTGGTGGCGGCTGTTCCGGCGGGGGGCGGCCCGGGCCCCGCGCTGGACGAAGGCCCAGTACCTGCAGCCCAGCCCGGCGGCCCCGAGCCTGCAGGGGCTGCGGCGGGTGCTGGCCGCGTGGAGGCGGAGGCCCCAGTCGCTGGAGGAGATGCCACTGCTCGTGCTGGAGCGCGCACAGGGCGAGGCCTAGGCCGCGAGGTCCCACCTCGCCCTCCCGGAGGCCCGCTTTGGTTTTGTTGACCGAGGGCAAGAAATGAACACAAACGTAGCCCAGTGTGAATGAAAGGACATGGAGTGGGGGGGTGGGTACGCATTTGACCCCCCGGCGTCTACGTGTCTGCCCTGAGCGCGCCCCTCAGACCCGACTCTTTTCTTAAGCACCCCCAGGAAGAGTGTGGTTTTTCCGTCCTAATCTGTGCAATGATCGGGGAATAAAAAAGGAGACACACATAAGCGGGACGCCGAAGTCTTCACCCATCAGTGTGAGCAAACGCTACGTTTCTCTCTCGTGTGACGGGAGTTGGAAAAACTAGATCTGGAGAAGCGGGAAGGCGGAGGAATCCTGGGGACTCGGGGGGGGGGGGGGGGCGGTCTCCAGCTTCTGCCTTTGACTCTCGCCGATGAGGCCTGGCGGTTCTCTGGGTTCAGAGGTGAATTAGCGGCCTTAGGTAAGGCAGGTCGCTGATTCACCCTTGAAAAGTAATGCACGAAGCCATGAACCTCTATTAGAACAGACTTCTGCCAACCTCGAGGGCCAGTATCTGGATGATAAGGTGAACCTCAGGAGCAGATGATAATGGAGGAAAAAACCCTATTGTCCCTCAGCTGACATCCTTTCTGCACTCAAGACCAGGTCAGATCTGAATTTGTGACCAATTTACTATAATCTACCAATATTAGGAACCTGTTTAGAATGGGGGGAAGCCCTCTTTCCTGTCCTGTCCTTGAGGCGAGACCATCCTACTTGGGAGAGTGGACAGACACGGACAAACCACAAGAGACCACCGCTGTGCAGTTAGTGATAATCCAGGAGAGGCGTCTCGGTCAGCGCAAGGGCCACTGAGAACAGAAAGGGTCTGGTGGAGGCCCTGGGCCCAAGCGGAACAGGTCTGTGGGAAAGGAGGGGCCTGCGTCAGGATGGGGGACAATGGGGCTGCACAGCGGGGGGCTGCTCCTCTGCAGGGGTCCCCCACACTGCTGCTGGGGAGAAGGCATTCTCTCCCTTCCCAGCCCTACCTCGGCCTCCGAGGGGTGTGGTCACGCTCTCCTGGGCAGCTAAGGAGTGGGCCCCTGGACTGGAGCTCAGAAGCATCGCGTGTGAAAAGACGAACTTGCGACTACTGGAGAAATAAACGAGGGAGCGGGCTGGGCACCTCTCTGCAGGGCGGATGGGCGTGTGGAGTTGGAAAAACCTCTCACCCCAGACACAACACGACAGCTGCCATTTCCTGGAGGTCAGAAAGCACTCTTAAAACCTTTGTTACAAAAGTATTTTTAATAAACTGATGTATTTCAATGTCGTCAACATGATAGCCTGGTGCTATATCAAGGTAGCAAAAAACGAAGATTCCTGGTAACTTTTTATATAAACACCGTGAATGACAGCACATCTGCATTCGGCTTCACGAGGAATCACCCGCAGGTTCATGGCGATCAACAGCTGTGACACCTTCCGAACAGCGAAGGCTCGAGTCCACAGAGCGGACCGTGCAAGTCTAGCAGTGGGGCCACACCGAGGCCACACGGAGGGGCAGGCACAACGGCAGAGTGGCCAGCTTGCCAGACAAAACCCAAGTCTCTCAAACGTAATCGGTGAAAGAAAACGGAGCATCAGAATCGCAGCGTGTCTGACAGTCACAGAGACACAGGAGAGCCCTGGAGCAGCAAGTGCGTCTCTGCCTGTCTGGGGACGGAAAGAAGCTGTGGTCAGAGTCCTGTGGCCGCTGCAGGGTCGATGAGCCGCAGGCACACGTTGGCCGAGCCCCGTACTGCCCGCTCCGTGCAAGTGCTGGTGAGGGCGCTGTGCCTGCTGCTGGGTCAGGGCGTCCCCCCTGCCCGACTCCACAGGCCACACTGCCCGAAGCCCACGCCTTCTCAGTGTTGGAGAAAAACAAACCCAAGAGCATCTGCAACAGTGGAGACCAGCAGCGTCCAACCCTCTAACACCGCGCTGCTGTCCAACCCACGCGGTCACTCAAAGGGAGCGTCTGACTCCATCACGTGTCTCTCAAGGACCAGACCTTCCCGACCGAGATCAGGCAGGACTCTCCTCCCCCGAGGGCAAGGGAAAGCTGGCTACGTGCTAGGGAAGGAGCCATCCTGGGTCTTGAACTGTGGAGGAGGAACTGATTTACATAAATAAGATGACTTTATATATTTATTTCTCAACTTTGAGTACTGTTAGGTTGTGATCAATCTCAAGTCCAGAATTTTACCTGCTGATTGTTACTATGGTAATTGGCCTTGGGCCACAATTTATTTCTGTGAGGACCCTTTGCACTGGTTGTAAACTCCAAATGCTGCAGATTCCAGTAAATACAGCAAAACACCAGAAGGCCCTCCGTGTGCCCAGGGGCTGGGTTCCGAACAAACTCAATCGGGACGTGGTGGCTTTTCCCCAACAAGGGTCTACCTAACGCACACCGCTCCTCCACAGTCGGCAGCCCGGATGTGAGCCGCTGTCTGGGTGAATCAGTTAGAGAAAACTGTAATCTACCACGTTATTTAAAAAAATCCTAAGCAAACCGCATCAAAAACTTTCCCTAACCTGGGTTCTGGCGACAGGACTCTGCTTTGAGGGAACAGATCAACTGCTAGACTCTTCGTGTTTTATTCTAATCTCACGTCAGACCTGAACCAAGTCACCTTTCCACGAAGGTCACACATCCTTCCTTCCCCCTCACATCTCAAAACCAGCGTGCCGCCCCGCAGGGCCGAGGACACCGTGTAAAGGCTTTCCAGAACAGTCAAAGCACAAATAGGTTAAGTGGCTTCATTTTCCTCAGGTCAACGCTTATAACTCAAGGTTTATTTTCCCGATGAACAAGGTGTGCTTAAGTTCATAAAATGAATCAAAAATCAGCTTATGGAAAAGTTAAAAATGTAGTTTACTAAAAGTTATGTATCTTTACAAAGAGAAATAGCACTAACAATCCAACCTAGAAGTTTAAATAAAAGATGATTTAAAACTAACAATATATATAAAAGCTGAAGTCACTGCCTTGATAATTTATACACTGCATCCAGTATTTGATGTGGGACATTCATTCTTAAGGCAGAAAAAGTGAACTGGACATGGAATGACTTGACTCTCACATCCAACGGTCAAACTGGGAACGGACTCGAGCAGACAAGATTCCTCGCTAATGAGGACTTATCTGTGGTGACGATTCCACTCTTAGAGTTATCTTATGTAAGAGACATACATGTGAGAACAGAAAAGGATGAATTTTAGGACAGAAACGTGATTTTTACACAAGAGGTCAATGAGACTAGCCTTTCTATTACGAGGCAAAACCACTCTCGTAACAGACTAACAGACTCCATGTGCTATTTCTGGTGTGGTACGTAAAGTGTTTAAAATATCAAACAATTGCCTTTTGGGAGTGTGTTACTTTAGACTAGTTCCCAAGGTCTAGTGTGAAAGGCAGCCTGAATAGTCAGAAGCAGGTGAGTATCAACTCAGCCCGCTACTCAGAAGGCTGCCATCTAGAATGTTCCTGCCCATCAACCAAATCCTGTGCAGGGATCGTGTTGGTATGTATTGAGATAAAAACGAAGCCCCCCCCCCAACACATGTGCAAAACCCCTCGTCAGTTACTAGCAAGAATATCTTCAACAAAAAACATCTTCCTTACAGAATCAGAGGCATCCAAGCCAGACGGACACAAGAACGTACACGGCCCCCCCGCCGACGTGGACGGTGTTGGGAACAGCGGCAGCCGTCGGGCGGGGACCTCGGGATGTGCTGCGCGGAGTGGGAGGGAGTGGGGTGCTAAGAGGGACCGGGCCGAGTGTGGCCACCGGTCAGCAGACGAGGTCCCGGGCCCTCCGCCGGGAGTGTGCTCCTCGCCTCTCTGCATCCAGATACCAAAACCGTAACAAAAACAAACACAAACTAAAGGACAATTCTCAAGCAGGTGAGGATGAACAACCACCACCTAAGTACTTTTTTGTGTGCCTATTATTTATGCCGTAACTCTGGCAACTGTCAGAAGTGTACAAAGATTACCTGCCTAATGTCCGAAGACATGAAGATTCTCTTCGTTCACGGCGGCAGGAGTCCATGCGAGATTTGTAAACAGCGATACAAAATACTGTAAACGTAACGTAGCAGAGCTTGTATAAAACAGAAGGAGTAAATCCAAATGTACAAGTGGGTTAAAAAAACCAGAGGGCAGCTTCGTACAAAGTCCTCCCTCCTGCGCCGAGTGATCTGATTACAAATATAATCCTGAGCTGAAAAACTGGGATTTGAGGGGACAGCCATCCTCACGTACAAAACATCCAGAGGACGCTTACTCTTTTACTTTCCACTAGTGATATTCAACGGCCAGAAACAGTTCCGAATATGCGACTTTGAAGGCAGTCAGAGTTTGGTGTGGCGCCCGGGCCTGGGGCCTGCTGCGGCGCTGGCCACGGCCGCCGAGGCCACGGCGTCCTCCGCCTCCTCCAGCTCCTCCTGCAGCTCCTGGCTCACACTGGACTGCAGCGCCGCGGGAGTGAGCCACTCCTTCGGGAGGCAGCTCTGCAGGAAGGGGATACAGGAGCTGAAGTAGGCAAGCCGATTGATCCAGCGAGGAATCTCCTTCCCACAGAGAATCTGGAGGAGGAAAGTGTTCTATTAGGGAGGTAGTTAAGGGGATCGGTCCACTGCCGGGGGAGGGGAGCGGGTGGATGTTCAGAAAAGCCACTGCACACCAGCCTCTGGGGATGTGACTTCAGGCCTCTGCCATTGAGCAGCCCCCTAACTTGGTAGCCTGGGGTCCCTACTGTCAGCTCCATCCCTTCCTTTCTGAAGACCCTTGTCAGGTCACTTACTTTTCACATCTATAAAACTGAGCTAGTTTCACTCGGAGCCTTCCTTCCTTTGGTCCTTGCAACCGCTTTCAGACAAGTGTGGAAGTACTCTGCACACCAGAGCAGAAGACTCTTGCAAACACAGGTGGTGTTGGAGTAAGGGGAGCTCCAGGCCGTAGGAGCAGTCAGTCTGGGGTGCTTTCGTGTCTGCGATTCCTCTTTTTTCATGGACTCTTTCTACCTCCCTCCAGTCTCCACCGCCCCGTTTTTTCCAGGTGCTCATTCTACCCCGTCGCGTCTGTCCTTGGCCCAGGTATCCCAAGCTTTCACTGGTCTGGATAGAAGCATCTGCCCAGATGAGACCTGACTGGCTCTGGGACCCTGGGGAAGCCTCTACTAGGGACAACAGACACAGAAATGAGGGTCAGGAGGGATCCCCTGGCTGACCTCTCCTCCCACCTCCTCCCACTTCGGTCAGTAAGAACTGGGTCCTTTACAAGATGGCTTCATTGTCGTTACCCTCTTTCCTTCTGTAGACCGCTCTGGGCTTAACTGAGCTCGTGTTCCACTGTCCCTCTGGCATTTGTGCCTCTGATCTGTCAACGATTATGACCGTGGGATGGAGAAGTACCATCTTCTTTGCTGATGACTTAGGAAAGAGGTTCCAAAGTATCTTATGTCCCCCAACTAGCTAATATGTAAATAAGCTGACCCAGGTAATGAAGCAACAGGGTTAACTTTTCTCCGGAAAGGCTTATTTAGCCTTGTGCCCTAATGGTTACTGACCTTATGTGATACCCTCCCCATCAGTCTACTCAACACACAGACAAGCATTACATTACCCTTCACACCCAAGACATGTTAAGGGATATTTGCCTGGAAGAAGGCAAACCACAGAAGTGTGACTAGGAACATCAGGTTTCCGGAGCAGGTCCCTCCCCTCTACTTCCTGAGCCCTCATCTGATTTGGTAATCTGCCTTCCTGCATTTCTCCGTGTGCGTCCTGGAAGTGGCCTCCGCCTCTATCCCCGGGCAGCGACTCGGTCAGCCTGCAACACTCATCCTGAACGACGGGCCGCCTGTCTCTGCGCTCCTTACAAATGTGAGCTCTGAACTGCCTTCCTTCTCTGGAAGTTGCCCAGGCCCCGGCAACCCTCCCAATCTCAGCGCATCCCCAGACTGGTGCCGCTTCTCCACCTTTCCTGTCGGGGGAGGCACCCGGGGACCGAGGTGCCCTGAGTGCCTGACTCAGTGCGTCGCAGTGGGGCACAGGCGATGTGCACACACCTCACCGAGTCCTACGTGGTGCTGGTGGTCCTCAAAACATACTTTCTGAGAAGCCCAGCAAAGGTCTGCCCCAGACCTGTTCGAGAGCTGTGCCGGGGATGCCACGAGGAGGTGCAAAGGGCGGGGGGCCCAGCTCCCTGAGGCGGCAGGTCACTGAGGCAGCGCTTACGCCCGCCCGCCTTTCCCCAGTCCCTGCTGCTGCGCAGCCCCCGCTGCTCGGACGCAGGAAGCCGGGACCCTGTTTCAACCCCATTTACCTCTCTAGACCTTACTTGATCATCTTTTGCTCTCTCCCTTTCATTTTCTTTTCCAGGGTCCTGTAATTCTGATCTAGTTTTTGGTCTCCTGCTTGGCATTCAAGAATTGGGAAGGCAAGTTAAGTGCCTGTGTGATAAGCCGGCAGAATTGAATTTCGAGACAGGAGAAATTAATTACTTATTCATGAGCAAGAGCCTGGAAAAAATTTCAAGTTGGCAACTAAAATTTGGGGTATGAGAAATACGAGTGGCCAGAAAGCAGAAGTCTCTCAGGCATTAACTTCTTTAAAGCGAACGTTTCAGGTGTAACAGTGAGTGAGAGAAGAGACGGCTTCTGTACTCCCTCCCCACCCACAGTGGAGGCGTGGCTATCATCATGGTGTAAAGCTGTGCCCACTCCAACGCCACCAACTTTAGAAAGGTCACTCATGCAAGAGAAAGAAATGTAACTCCGTATTTTGTACAACACAAAGGTCCAGGAAGAAAGGAACCAACGAAATGCAGCAGGTTGGTAAGTATACTGATAAATATTATTTACTTGAACTTTTAGGATGAAATTTAATTTACCTCTGATAAAGCTGAAGAAAAGTGGTTGCAGTTTTTGTGCATTAAATGATAGGCATTGCCTTTGTATTCTTTCCCCAGTTCTTCTACAATTTTTTCTATATCGTCTTCTAGGAAGTCGGTGCTCCCTAAAACAACAGCTTCTCTTAAAGAAGAGAAAGAAGAAAACAAACACAGCTGTGTGAGGTCAGGTATTTATAAAACGCACATTTCAGCTTCGCTTATTTGCAGGGATATCATGATTCGAGATGTACCAAAGCAGGGTTACTGCGACGAAACTAAAGGGAAATGAGATACTTTAAAAATGCTAGTTATTTTTAGCTTTATTTTTCTGCAATAAACTTTTAGGCACACCACTTCTCAATAATTCAAATGCAGAACTCATTTTCTTTATGAAACAATAGATTCTTACATTGAAAATGTAACATCACAGTTGTTTTTACAACTACTGTGTAAGCAGTTACACTATTAGAAAACCAGCTCCACGGTGCCAATATTCCTGTTCAGTTACACTTGCCATGGATGGCCGGCCAAGTTCTCTTGGGGGGGAAAAACTAAAAACCAAACCCAAAGCATCTCCCTCACCCAACTACTGCCCTGGAAATGTAATAACAGACATTATTCAGAAGCATCTAGAGTTTTAGTCAGGCCCAGCAGGGCATCCAAGAAAAGCCGAAACTCCTCCGAAAATCCCTGTCTAGCCATCGTGACTACAGGGGGACCTGAGGGGTGGACTCAGGACGGCCTCGGGCAGCGCCTCCCACCTTGCCCATCTCACGGCACACAGAGACCATTCGGTGAAACTCTGCGGCACACCAAAAATGTGCTTTTGCAGCTCTGATGGCCATTGTGGGTTGGCTGTTATGGTTTTTTCCTTTGACAATCTAAGGGGAAGAGGTCAGTGCCCCTGATGCAACAGTCAAGCACCCGTCATAAAAACTGGCAGCAAAAATTGCTGGGCTAAGGGAACCATGGACATAGGAGTGATAAACATGTGTGGCCCTAAACTGCATTTCAAGGCTATGACCTCCTTTCACTACTTTTCACTATTTTTTGGCAAATTAACTATTATAAGCCCAGAAGTTTAGTTGAAGCTCCTTGAAACAAAGGTTCTAAACATTAAATACAAATCTTCATTAAGGAATGGAAATTTGTTCATTAGCATTCAGATTTTTAGTGCTGATACTCCTAAGGTTACAGAATACACTCATATCCACACATTTTAGGTTTATCAATACATGTAATACAGGTGCCTTCACAATAGATTCTTGGCTAATCAACTGTTTAACTGAAATTTATCAAGTGTCCCTTTCATGGGGAAAGTGAAGACGTTTTTAATAATGCTATTAGTACGTTGCAATAAAACCTTCCTCCACCCCCTCCCCCAAATGGGAGGCTCAGGGTAGCAATAATCAGAGAGGAACGTTGTCTAACGCAGAACCCGAGTTATACCGAGGCAGAAACATTTCTGAAGTACACGGAATACCTTACATGGGTCTTGAATAGAAGCACTCGGTTATTTCAGGTACTGTTTGGCCAACTCCCATCTTTACACAACAGCTGAGACACATGTGATTGTAGAATAAAACGTCAGCAACTAAAGCAACGTTACAGAGACAGTTTAACTAACTCTAGACTTTTAACTTACAGGATGAACCCTGTATGCCTGAAAACAAGCTGTGGCACCTAAAACAGTAATAAAAATTATCCTCCCTACTTACTTAAATTTAAATGTTTCTCCTAGTTCAGAAGCATTTCCTGGGGAAATTTCAAATATTCCAGAAAAGGGGTAAGGATGGCCACCATAAGCAAATTCTGAAAAGAGAAAACTCATGATTTTTAGTATTACACAAAACTTAACCAGAATGCTGAATTAGCTTTAGTAAATGATGAGGATAATAACGATACCATCTAAATATTTTTCTGTTCATTCATGTTTTCACAAACATCTCATTTAGCCATTACTCATACAGAAGAGGTGATGCCAAAGGCCTGAACCCTCTGACAATGGGAGACATTCCGAGGTAATGCTGACTTTGTTTTCACTGGCGACAGGAGAGTGACCAACACTCAATCGTGAACACAGTCCCTCTGCCTACCTGTCCTGCCAAACTAAGTAGGTGGTCAGTTCAGCACTTGGCTACTTTCTAAATTCAAGTGATCAAATTTCAAACTCGTATTTTACTGGAAAATATGTCTAATAACAATGAATTTTCATAGTTCCTGGGCTGAACGCCTGGTTTTTCTTTGAAACATTAGCAAACCTGAAAAACCAAATTCCAGTCCCCCATTCAAGAAAAAATAAGTGGCCCTGGCCAGGTGGGGAGGTGGTTGGAGTGTTGTACCGATACTCCAAGGTTGAGGGTTCGATTCCCCGGCAGGGAATGTACGAGACTCAACCAATGAATGTATAAGTGAGTGGAACAACAAATCGATGTCTCTCTCTCAGTCCAATAAACAAAAATTACAAAGAAAAACTAACAAATTAGCATGTGCACCTGCTCCCACACACTCTCCACCACGAACCTTTAGCTGGGAGAGAACGCCCTGCTCTACAGGGAATGTCCGCGCAGGCCAGCAGGTGCCAGCTCTCTCGGAACTAAGACTTCTGTCTACGGTTCTGAGACGGGTACCTGGGTATTCCAGTGGCAGATCTGAGTGGGCTTATTCAAATAATTCCAAACAAATGTTTAAATTAATCTCATCACTTAAAATTTACTAAATGTTAAAAGGTCTCAGGACAAAGAATGGGAAAGAACTGATATATACTAAGTTTACTTTTAATTCACACCTTTCAGAAAAAAGTAATGATGTAGGTAACAAAAAGGTGTTTAACATCCGATTTTGAAATATGCATTACAACATTTGTAATGACAGAACCTTACAGAACACCGTAGACCATCAGGCTGGCTACGAAAGCCTGTGTCTGCAGTTTGAGCTTTTCGAGCCCAGCAGGGAAAGTCATAAAGCCGTTCGCTCTTCCATTCAAGGAGCACCGTTCACTGTCGGACGAGTCCGGGGTGGGACAGAAGGGGTTTACAGTGGTGAGTACATGAAAGACGGAGTGTATCCTGTGTCGTTGTTGACTGATTCTTGTATCATTTTCCACACGAACAACTGTAAACCTACTTCTGCCCCACCCTGTGTTCTGCCCGAGCCTGGCCAGGCTCACGTGGACACATTTTGAGCCATGCTTCCAATTAGTCCTCAATCATGTTACGAAAGGCAGATAAGGACCCAGGGACTCGTATGCAGAAGCACTTGGGTTCAACTCCTAGGTCCGTTAATTGTCAGGAATGTGACTTTGAGCAGGTCTGAGCTTTGGCTGCCTCCTCAGGGAAGTGGAGAAATGCTCTCGTCGGCCCCCAGGAGCACAGTCACGTGGTTCAAAACTCGACGGCACTTTAAAACGGTCACACACCGTGCAGATTCGGATGAAAGGGAATGCACACGACTCTGGCAGAAGCCGAGTCCAATGAGGGGCAAACCCCACCCTGTAACCCCGCCGGCAGCAACACTCCGCCACCGAAACTCTGGGCAGGAGCCCCAGGGCGTCGTTGGAAATATTTGGTACACGCAGCCCTTCGAGGAAAAGGGACACTGAACAGCACCTCTTTGGAGTCCGTGTGGAACACACACCACCGTGTGACACGCACCACCACCACGCCTGGAAGCGCCGGACCACGAGCAGGACAGAAAGGGGACGTGACGGCACCGCACCGACACCTTTGTCACCGCTGAAGCTGCTGTGCGGTCTCCAGGGGTAACTAAGTGGCAGTAACGTATTCCACGAGGTCACAAATCCTGCCTACTCGAGGCAGTGAAAGGCATTTATTTCTGCTACAGGGTGAGTTTGTGATTCAAAATAATGTGTTTATAACCCTGATGAAACGGGCAATGCGATCTGTGTGACACACACCATTACTGCTCACAACTCGATCAGGAGTGAATGGTCCTCACCAGGGTGGGGATGAGAACGCAGAGCTGCGGAGAGCGAGGTGCCGCGTGTGCCTGGCTCGCCACTTCACTGTGACACAGGGCAGCAGAGAACAGGGAGGGCTGAGTGCATGACGACCAAGGCCTTCGTTCTCCAGCAAAAGGCTGGATGTGATCAAGGGCAGGACTGGCTCAGCAACGTTTTTGAACGTTTTAACCATCTACTCCAGGTCTGCAAAAACCAGTGACTGAAGTTCCCTCAGGAAATGGGTCTTTCGAGTTTGACACTCTCTCCAACCAATAGGATTGTTTTTAATCGTATCATTTTTCAAACTGCAAGGTTTCTTAGGAACTCCAATACGTATTACAGCAAAACTCTAAGGGCATAACAATCTCAAAAGCAAAATGGTTTTTAAAGTTATAGTATTAGAATAAAAGATACCTAAGTAAACGTACACACATATACTTTGGTACTTTCTGCCCAAATGCATTCAACTTCAGGCATTTTTCTCTGAAAAGGCAGAGCAAGCTCTGGGACTCTGCAACCCTGTAGCGGAAACCCCCTCGGAGAGGGGGCGTGGACTGTGTGTGCACGTACCTCTGCCGTACACTTCAATTCCTGAATGGAAAACTCCAATTCCAATGGGCGAGGTGTACTCGTTCATCCAGTACTACGGGAGAAAGGAAAGAGTCAGCACACCTGTTCGTTTGTGGCTCGCCTCCACGTGGCGAGGAGCTGCTGCTCCCCACACCGGGCCCATTTGGGGGCACTTCCCCTCACATCTCTGAAGCTCCGAGACAGGGACCCACCCCCAAGTGGAACTCCTCCCTGGGTCCAAACGGAGTTCTCCCTGTGCGTACAAGCACGCTATCTAAGGCTTAGAGCACAAATCCCAACAGCTAAACCTGGCCAGGCTGGAAAAAAGTAGATACAAAAGTTCTGTTAGTGACTTAAAAACTTCACCCAACACCTGCATTCATGTACTGTTACAGAAACAAATCCTTGTGTACAATCTAGTATATGATAAAGATGGGGTTTAAAACTAATGGTAAGGGGTAAATTATTAAAATGTTGATGAAATGGATTATGCATAAAAATACATATATCTAAAAACTCTAGTGTCTAAATATAATCACAGAGAAGAAATAAAATAGATTAAAAATGCTTAAGATGGGAAGAGCCAATCTAAGTGAAGCAAAACCTAAAATTTTAGATGAAAGCAACAGATATCAACATAAACATTTACAACTGTTTACTGTGCAAAAGCACACAAATGAGATAAAAATATAAACACGGAGACAAAGCTTGTACCAGGTAGTACAAAGGTCAGTGTAAGAATCAGGTCCCCTCTCCATCTCATTCTGTCTGGTCCCTGCATTCCGACCGCTTGAACTTGGAGGAGGAGCGGGGAGAAGAAGGCAAAGATGGCTTCCACTGGCGAACCGGGTGAAAGTACGCAGACTGTGCTCTTCTCACAGCTGCTTCTTGTGGGTGTGGACATTTTTAAGATAAAAAGGAGGACCAGAGAAAACGATCTGGCCACTGCCTCTTGTCAACAGAAGAGACGCCGCTCCTGGTTTCTTGCTCCCTCCCCCGCCCGTGGTCTGAGGGGGGGAAGCACAAGGTGACCCTGCCAGTCTGCAGACAGTCTGCTGGTCTTTCCCAGGGAGGGGTATTCTTGGCAGCCACCTTCTAGGACTTCAACTGCCTTTTCCATCTGAGAAATCCCATTGCTTACAGTGCTCGCAACCAGTGATTTGGGCTGTGCACTGCTGATTTCCTCAACGACAGCTCGGCAGGAAATTTTCAATTTTTTGTCCTGGATGCTGACAGCTCTGTTTTAGTGACCTTTCTCTTTTTACACGCAAACTTCTCTTTCAAAATACAGAACACTGTCCAAAAAGCTATATATATATATATATACACACACACACACACATACACATATATGAATGATTTATCCACAACATCTACAATAAAACACTGGCTACGTTTTAAACTCTTAGTAGATTGCACATTTATTTCTATTTAATGTCTCACATCACTTAATTTTAACAATTTCTCTTTCAGTTGAGCAGTAAGTAGCCTCCCCAAAGTGCTTTTATAATAAATGTCTATAATGGGAACCTAAATATTTCATTAAAAGATAGTGAGGTTTTCATGAAAAAGAAAACGTACACATGAACAGTGTCTTTGGGCAAAGGGTAAAAAGAAGGTTAGGATGGGAATGCAGGTGGCCCGAGTGGGGATCCTCAACGAAAAATCTTAAAATCTTTCGTTCCCTACACTTTCACCAAGGAAAACCACCTCTTCCACGCTGAGGGGTTTCATGCTCAGAACACCTGCATGTCAGCCGGGTGGGTGCGCACTATGCTGCTTCAGTTGGAAATTCCCCTGCAGTCAAGGTTTTACATTCTGTTACAATGTAGAAGGGTGTGTTTTGACCCATTTTATCAATTGAGAAGTCTGTAAAAAGAGAGAAACTTAAAAACAAGGGAACAGTGTACCACCCCAAATCTGGTCAGCCCTTCGCAGTTCAGAGTAACGAGATCTGACCTACACAAGGTGTCTGAAGAACGGCCAAGGCACAACAACAAAAAATGATGACCTGGCACTTTGCAAGCAGTGGTGGTAGCTCCCCTCTCAAGTGGAAAGTTGGACAACTAGGTCAGGTGTTTCCGCTCAAGGTCACAGGAAGCCCACGAGTTGGGAGGAAAAGGCTTTCTTAACCCAGAGGTGTTTCTCTGGACAGAGCCGAACAGCAGAAGGCTGTTCACTCCTAACACCATTTCTTCCCCGAGGCTCTGTCTCAGCATTAATCAGTGTTGATGTGGCTTACTCACTGGTAGCAATACCAATAAGGGACTCAATAATTTTTTTGCTTTTCTGTTCCTTTGTATTCTTATCCATAAAAAGGCCCCCAAATTTAAGGATACATTTCTTTGAGAGATTAAAGTAACTATTTACTAGTTAGAAATCTGTGAATAAATATTTCTACTTACCTTGCAAAAATAAAAAGAATTATAAGTAGCCCTATGAACACCTGTACACCAACAAATTAGACAAATGAGATGAAATGGACAAATTCATCCAAGGACACAAACTATCACAACTTACTCAAGAAGAAATTTAAAAATCTGAACAGATTTATAATGAATGAGGATGAGAGAAGGAATGAATTAGTAATTTAAAAACCACCCACACAGAAAAAAGGCTATGATCAGATGATTTTGGTGAGTTCTACCAAATATTTAAACAAATTTAAACAATTTAAAATAAATCAATAACAACTCTTCACCAACTGTTCCAGCAGACAGAAGAAAAGGGAACACTTCCCAACTCACTCTGAGGCCAGAATCAACTTGAAACCCAGCGCTCTTTCATGATTAAGAACACTCGGCCATCTAGGAATATAGGAAACTTGCCAACCAGGGGAAGGGCATCTATGAAAAACAGCTAATAGCACATTAATGGTGAAAGATTTGATGCTTTTGCTTTAAAAGCAGGAAAAAAGTAAGGATGTCTGTCCTTGCCACTTCTATGAAACACTGTACTGGGGTTCTAGCCAATGCAATTAGAGGGAAAAAAAATCAATAAATAAAATAAGGTACATCTAGACTGGAAAAGAAGAAGTAAAATTATCTCTATTTGCAGATGACATGGTTTTGCATATAGAAAATCACAAAGATTCACTAAAAAAACTTATTAAAACTAGTTAACAGACTTCCGCCAAGATGGAGGCACAGGTGGAGACGCCGTGCTTCCTCACACAACCAAGTTTAGAAACAACTAAATATCAGCAACAGAAAACACAGCCAGAACACAGAAAACTGAACTTTTAGGAAGTCTGATAACAACAAATTCTTCGGCCTGACCGGTAAGAGGGGCAAAACCAGCAGCTGGCGGAGTGGGGTTGCACAGAAAAACTCAGTCAGACAGACTCAGGCGTGCGGAATTCAGGTGCAGGGTTGGACCTGGTGGGCAACTCAGCAAGCGACCGCGGGGAAACAGCGAGGGAGCAGGGCTGCGGGTTGACTGTGGTCGCGCATTCGTATGTGGATGGACAGGCGAGGGAGTAGGCGACTGGACGAGAGCCAGCACGCCCCAGTGGCCAGCGGCAGCTGAGGGTGCCGCCATTTCCCCACTCTGACCACGCCCCCACATACAGCGTCACAACCCAGCAACCTGGGAGTCCAAGGCTCCGCTCCTCACACTTAAAGGGCCAGAACAGACCAAAAATGGCTCAAGAAGATCTCAAAGCCCCAGAGCCTATAAATCTAAGCGATGAAGAAATAGCAAAACTCTCAGATGCACAGTTTAAAACACTGGTCATCAGGATCCTCACAGAACTGGTTGATTACAGCCACAAATTAGAGAAACATATGAAGGCAAAACTAATTGAAATGAATGGAATTGCACAGGACACCAATAGCAATGAAAAGGAAACTGGGACTCAAATCAATGGAGTGGACTAGAAGAAAGCAAATAATGGCCAAACAAAAAAGAGTCAAGGAGCAAGAATTCAAAGAAATGAGGAGAGACTTAGGAACCTCCAGGATATCTTTAAACACTCCAACATCCGAATTATAGGGGTACCAGAAGGGGGAAAGGAACAGCCACCAGTGGAAAACTTATTTGAACAAATAATAAAGGAGAATTTCCCCAATCTGGCAAAGGAAATAAACTTCCAGGAAATCCAGGAAGCTCAGAGAGTCCCAAAGAAGTTGGACCCAAGAAGAAACACACCAAGGCACATCATCATTACATTAGCCAAGATTAAAATGAAGGAGAGAATCCTAGAAGCAGCAAGAGCTAAGGGGACAGTCACCTACAAAGGAGTCCCCATCAGACTGTCAGCGGATTTCTCAAAAGAGATCTTACGGCAAGAAGGGGCTGGAAAGAAGTATTCCAAGTCATGAAATCCAAAGACCTACAACCAAGATTGCTCTATCCAGCAAAACTTTCATTTAGAGTGGAAGGACAGATAAAGTGCTTCTCAGATCAAATTCAAGGAGTTCATCATCACCAAGCCCTTATTATATGAAATGTTAAAGGGACTTATCTAAGAAAAAGAAGTTAAAGAAACATGAACAGTGAAAGGACAGCAAACTCACAGTTATTAACAACCACACCTAAAACAAAAGCAAACTAAGAGGACAGCTAGATCAGGAGTAGAACCATAGAAATGAAGATCACATGGAGGGTTAGCAACAGGGGAGTGGGAGGAGGAGAAGGGGGGAGAAGGTACAGAAAATAAGTAGCACAGACAGTAGATAGAAAATAGATGGGGGGGGCAAGAATAGTATGGGAAATAGAGAATCTAAAGAACTTGAGACACGTGGTCATAAACTAAAGGGGGGTAATGGTGGGGATGGGGGGTAGGGTGGAGGGGAATGAAGGGGGGGAATAGAACAACTGTAATGGCATAATCAATAAAAAAAATTAAAAAAAGCAAAAAAAAAAAAACCTAGTTAACAAATTCAGCCAGGTTACATGGTACAACATTAATATACAAACATTAACTATATTATTTTTTTTTATTTATTCAGAGAGAGGAAGGGAGGGAGAAAGAGGGAAACATCAATGTGTGATTGCCTCTTGAGCGCCCCCTACTGGGGATCTGGCTCGCAACCCAGGCATGTGCCCTGATCTGGGAACTGACCAATGGTC